GACATGATAAGCTCCGCTCGACAAAGTCGCAGCGGAGCTAAAAAATGTAAAGACTTTAAACAAAATGGCAGCCTCTCGGCTGAGATAGCACCGCTGTTAGCAATGCACATTACAATTAAAGAACAGAAGATATCATCAGAAAATGAACAATATGCATAGTATCAATGCAACAGGACTTGCTGTTTTCAACAAGAAGTCGAAAATATCACTTTTTACCAAAAATGACAAAAATATTCACCAAAATTAGAGAATTAAAGATATCATCATGAAATGAACAAATCAGAGAGAGGTCTACCCAAGGTACATATACACCAAGTATCAAAGCATTCAGGCTTGTAGTTTTCAAGAAGAAGTCGAAAAAGTAAAACATTGACACAGACGACGACGGACAATCACTCGTATGATAAGCTCCGCTTGACAAAGTCGACAGCGGAGCTAACAAGATGTATCATCTGTGTTTATAAGAACCGGTTGTGGACCCTTCAAAGTATTATAATTTGCCTGCTAGTGATTTAACCAATACATGTATAACAGCTTAAAAGTAGACCTGTTAGATAAAGAAATCAAAATGCATTTACCTTCAAGCCATATACACCCACTTTACCAGCAACTTTATAAAATAATGAATCAACTCCTTTGGCATGAGAATGTAACATTGCATTTAGACAGGCTAAAGATCCAGCGGCACTGAAAAATAAATGAGTCATTGTCAATGACATTGTCAAAATATTATTTGGCTTAAGATAGAATCCCACTCATAAATAAAAATACCCAGAATTTATTCTTTTTCCAATAAATTGTACTTCAGGGCAATATATGAATATTGTTGGGGGTCACCAGGCTAATTTTCAAGAAATTGATAGTTGAATTTTAGTGGATAGTGGCCATTTTCACAGTATTATACTGCTTTTACCATAGGTTCCTATAGCACAGATATTATGTCGCATCATCTGACATCTGAGATCAGAAAACAAATTTCCATGCAAACCATTGTATCTTGACTTTGATGAAAATTCACAAGAAATCAGACCATGTGTAAAAAAGTAATTGCCATTTTTAATCAAATCACAAAATGACATGCTTCAGTAACTCATCATGTGTGAGCAGAAGTCAATTTTGAATGAAATCGACCTAGGCTTGTCTTAGCTGGAAATACTATATTCTATATATGTAAATCCTGTGTAAATCCTAAAGTATAAGACATTACTGAAAAATCCTTTTTACCTGGATTTCATTTTCCCTAGAATAGCATTTTGGCTGTTTTGTATGGAATTTATTTTAACTGATTTTTGATGAGTATTTTAATCTGGTTTTATTTTTACTGACTCATCCCTTTAACGACAAATAAATTCCAAGTGAAAACAAGCAGCCTGTCGGCTGAGATACATTGTAGCTCCGCTGTTAGCAATGCACATTACAACAAGCAGCCTGTCGGCTGAGATAGCTCCGCTGTTAGCAATGCACATTACAACAAGCAGCCTGTCGGCTGAGATAGCTCCGCTGTTAGCAATGCACATTTCAAATAAAGAACTGAAGATATCATTAGACAATGAACAATATGTATAGTATAGTATCAAAGCAACCGAACTTGATGTTTTCAAAAAGAATACAAAAATATAACTTTTTACCAAAAATGACAAAAATATTCACCAAAATTAGAGAATTTAAGATATCATGAAATGAGAAAATCTGAGAGGTCCACATGTACATGTAGTACCTAAATGTATAATATCAAAGTAATTGAACTTGCGGTTTTCAACAAGTTGAAAATATAGCTTTATACTAAAAATTACAAAAATATTCACTAAAATTAGAGAATTAAAGATATCATCACGAAATGAACAAATCTGAGAAAGGTCCACATGTAGTATCTATATATGTAATATCAAAGCAATTGGATATGCAGTTTTGAACAAAAAGTCGAAAATATCACTTTTTACTAAAAATTACAAAAATATCCACCAAAATTAGAGAATTTAAGATATCATCACGAAATGAACAAATCTGAGAAAGGTCCACATGTAGTATCTACATATGTAATATCAAAGCAATATCACTTTTTATCAAAAATGACAAAAATGTTCACCAAAAATAGAGAATTTGAGATTTTGACATGAAATGAACAAATCTGAGAAAGAACCATCCAAGGTACTTGCATATCCATGTTGAAAACATTCTGACTTGCGGTTTCGAAGAAGAAGTTGAAATTGTAAAGTCAACGACGATGACAGACAGACGGACAATCAGTAATATGAACAGCTCTGCTGTGTCGACTTTGTCGACAACGGAGCTAATAAAGAAGATTTCAGTATTGTTATTAATGTGTTCAACTTCAGGATGAACAAAACAACGTATAAATATACGTTTGTAGTTGCTATGTAACAATTTAAATATAATTAACAGAGAATTCTTAATTTACCTCACATCTTTTATTCCTTCTCTCTGAATAGTCTGAAAAATGTCTTTATGATTCATTGGCGTATTTGGAGTCATTTCAAATACCTGTAATCAAAACAAATTGGTATACATGAAACATTTAATACATGTATACATGTATTTGACATCGCCAGACACCAGTGTGAGTAAACATATTTCAATAATATGACCATCCATTTAGATGATTTTTTAGCACAAAATTTGCCACCATTCGGCCATCTTGAATCCGATCGTGAAACAAATTGACGTGCATATTATGTATAATATTATGTATGATGTATGTGTGAAGTTTGATTGTGATTGGTCCAAGCATGTCTAAGGTCAGGACACACGGACGCACACACCCACGCACGCACGCACGCACGCACGCATGTATACACGCGCGGACACATGGAAACACAATGGTCAAAACACAAGTCCTCGTTTTCAGACTGCTTCCGAACTGGGACTAATACATAAATAATATCAGCCAACGCAGGACGATTTTAGGAATATCGCGGACTTAGGAATGTAATATACACCAACTACAGGGATTTCAAAGTTAGAAATTAACGTGTTTTACATTTTTTAGAAGGCAGCAGTATTACATTAGTGCCATATATAAGCAATATGATATACACAGGAAATCAAATATGGAAACAGCAGATGTTTCTGACATGCATGTGAAAAAGCATCACACATTTCACAAAGAATGAATGCGTTAGTTTAGCTGGTACATGTAATATCACAAACCCGAAGTTACAGCCCCAGAAGTGAACGTCAAATTATTTGCCAAAAAGTGCTGGCAATTCAAATTCATTCAATAACATTCGGCATTGGTTCGCCACATGGCTAACAGCAACCACAGGGAGTCTTGCAAGTACACTGGTTTTCATGGAAAGGCAATGTCAGCTGACATCAATGGGCAAATATCTAGTCTATTTCAGGACAAAAGAAGAAAACTGCCGATTCCAAGCTGAGCAAAACTGCAGAAACTGAATGGCAGTGATCCATTAAAAAAATGTAATGCGTATACTTATTCAGTTTCGATCCACGAAATGCAGTGTTGTCAGATACAATACGTGGGAAGATCAACGAAAGAAATGATACATATATGAAACCCATACAATGTACATCGGCCTTTTCACCAACAAAACTGTAAATATTACGATTGATAACAAAGTTATAGTTTATTTACATATCATAACGAGTGGTAGCCTAAGAGCATGTCAGCGAAACAGAGATGAATGCGTTGCATGACACACTCATTGCAAGTTATATTATATTATAATTGAAAATGTCAGGGGCTTTGGGTCGGATGTTGCCAGTGTTACAGGTACATTAGCATGCTAGGCGTTTAAATGCAGCCGCTGCCAGTTTAAAATAACCTTTTTTTGATATAGATTTACGTTCACTCAAAGAGCCGTGTTCGGTGAGACAGCTACAGTTATTCCAAGCAGAGACAGCGATCATCAATAATTAGACTGTGCTCAATGTAGAGTTATAAAAGAAATCTAGGCCTGAAAAGGATAATGCAAGACTGTTATTACATGTGTCGTCTTTTATCAAGCAGCCTCTCGGCTGAGATAGCTCCGCTGTATCAA